AACACAAATACACATGTGTATATTTGTGGTCTCACTCTGTGTTATTACCATGCTTGCCACATATTTAGGGCGCTGGCAGAAGAAGTAGGGAGAATTTTTTTCAGACTGGAATAGTGATGAGGCAGCCAAAGAAAAAAAGACACATGTCCTTTAACTCTTAGTGAAATACATTCAAGGCTGTGGTTAGCAGGACTTAAAGATAAGCCAGCCTCTAGACGTGTACCAGTTATTTGGCCAAATGCAATGGCTATTTTTCATTTTTCAAATTTCATTAGAGTTGGGATTTGGATATATTTTTATTTTGAAAATTGGTTCAATCCCATTGTACAACAGTAATGTTCACAGTTTGGAAACAAACTGTTTTGTTGTGAAAAAAGCAGGGACACCATCTCAAAATGCCAATTTTTTGCTCTTCTGATTTATATTTCTTTGCAAGTATGGGACTATAAAACTTTGGGAAGAACAAAAAGGTCCTGTGATGCAGGCTGGAACAAATCTCAAAGAAAGTAATAATGGACTCAACACATACAAACACATACACAAACCCAGTTACTGCACACCATACCAGCTTTCTGGCCTGTGATTTCTGGATGCCCCCTTTCTCCAACTATGGACTTGCCATGGTAATGGCTTCACGGTACTCCACATGGGGGTTCCCTCTCAACCCTCCAAGGAAATGTCAGGCGATTGGCCAAGTGCAATCAAACGCTACAAAAATGAAACACCAGTGTAGACAAGAAACCAAGGAGAGGAATAGAAGACTTGCAACACTGCAAGAGAGACAGTACAACAGCGTGAGTTCCAACCAGAGGTGGTATTCAGCAGGTTCTGATCAGTTCTGGAGAACCGGTAGCGGAAATTTTGAGTAGTTCAGAGAACTGGCAAATTGGCATTTTACAGTATCCTTCCCCTGCCACACCCACGAAGCCACGCCCACAGAACCAGTAGTAAAAAAAATTGAATCCCACCATTGGTCCTGACTACAGGATTTTCCTGTCTAATACAGGATTGGGATACATAAATATCCGGGAAACGCCGGGTTATCAGCTAGTTATGGAATAATTGTTGGCCATTCCAGTTGCTTCCTGCTTCTCACAGGATTACCTTTGCCATCTTTCCACTCCAGTGTCAGGAGCTTTAACCCCACACAGGCCTCTAGCAGCCTCTGCATCCCAGTGGGGCTGGTGCTCAAGCGCTCAGCAACAGTTGTGGAAGACAGCGGTTCCCCTGATTCCTTCAGGACATCAAAGACACCCAGTTCACAAGCAGTTGAAATGATCTAGGAAGAAAGGGAAAACAAAAGCTGTGGCATTCCTCTCAGTTCTATTGAATAATCTCCAAATCTATCTTTCCATGGCTCTTCAAAGGAAGATATAGTTACTAAATTATTTAATAAATTGGCTGGGAGATTTATTAATGGAGATTAACGTTAGTCTTTTGGATATAAAAACTCTAACAGTGATAAGCTAAAATCATCTGTGTAATTAAAAAGCCAAAAGGTGTTATTAAACATATTAAGGAATTTACCTATGTCTAAAGCATGCTGTAATGAAATTTTGTCAGCTGTAATTGGGCCCCTTTTAATTTCTGATAGGCAAAAGGGGAGCATATCTGAAAAAAGAAAGTAACCTATTGATGTCCACTGAAGCCAATTTGCTCAGAAGGCACAAGAAAGAATTTTGTGGCCATTTATTACTGACCATTTCATCACAACATAAACTTTGGTGATTCTATTGTTTTCACAACCATTGAGAAATGGAGGTCTTTTGTAGTTTCAAAGTTAAGATTTAATATTTTCAAGTATTACCCACCTTACCTTGAAAGTTATAAATGAATGCTGGTATCCAAACAATGTTTGAATAGTTTTGGTTTCTTCTATTGAACTCATTGTACTTGGCTTCTCTCGTTGATCCAAAAGGACACTTCTCCAGCCAAACTTGGTATTCCTGTGTGTAAAAATTGCATAATATAGGTGTCCTTAAGATGTTCCAGGGCAATGGTATGAAGTAGTATTAATGACAAAACAAGGACACAGAAGGTCTTCAAAAGTCTTTCAACAATGGCCTCTGAATAAGTTTAGCTGACCCAGCATTAGAGGACAGGTATCTTATGAAAAGCAGAAACAAGAAATGGAAGGTCACCTTGATCTCCACAATGGATGAATGGCTACAAAAACTAGTGGAGCTGGCCGAGATGGCTAAATTGACTGTTTTGATCAAGGAAAAAAAAATACTTTTATTTCTACTTTGAAACCGCTTCTGGACTTTGTGCTTGTGGTGAGGAAAAAAATGACACTTTGATTTTGGGTTTTACCAATTAGATAGATTTATTGTTATAGAAACGGCGAGTTAATATGATTATGTAAAAGTAAAAAGATTTGATGTTAATGCCTTCCCCCCCTTTTCCCTCTCTTTTCTCTTTCCCTCACTTTCCCTTTCCCTTTTCCCTTCCCTATTTTCCCTATTGTTTACTTTTGTATTTTGTTTGTATGCTATATTATAACTAATAAAAAACTATTAAAAAAAGAAAAGCAGGAAATGAGTAAATGAGCAACTTGTGTGCGGGGCTGGTTGGCACACCAAAAGAAAAATATGACATAACTCTAAAAGGTGTAAATTATTGGAGGATGGAGTAGCCTTTCTAAGATGAAAGTTTCAAGCTGAATGGCAAGCAGTAAACACAATCCAGAGAGAATAGGAGGCCATCCCAGTGGTGGGATTCAAATTTTTTTTACTACTGGTTCTGTGGGCATGGCTTGGTGGACATGGCAAGGAAGATTACTGCAAAATCCCCATTCCCTCCCCACCCCACTAACCTGCTTTCCAGTTCTGTTCTCCTATGCAGGGCAACAAAAGAAGACCCAGCCAATCAGCTGGGACTCAGGAGGCAGAGAATAGATGGGGGGCGGGGCCAGTCAGAAGTGGTATTTGCCGGTTCTCCGAACTACTCAAATTTCCGCTACCGGTTCTCCAAACTGCTCAGAACCCGCTGAATACCACCTCTGGGCCATCCCCACAAACAAAGCAAACACGATGAAAGAAAGGGAAATCCAGAAAGGGATTTGTTAAGACAGCTTCATTTCCAGCCAAGCATCTTAATCTTTCCTTTATAGATGTTCAACTACTGCTTGTCATCTTTAATGTCTTCCATCCATTGACTCCATAATGTTGGCCAGACCTTATTTCTCTTGAGGAACCTGGATGTACGGTTTTCTTTTTGTTCCTCCCTTCAGGGTCTCCCAGTTCTCCATATCTGACTTGGGAAATATAGTGTCAAAACTATTCAGATAAATTCCCTTTAAACTGTTTGAGAAAATGAAAAATTGTGAGAAAAGAAGACAGAAAAGGAGAAATAGCATTTTATTTTAGGAAAATATGTAGGAATGTGGGATAAGTATATGTCTACAACTAAGGAGCAACCTATTTTAGAATATGGAAAGTGTGGGGAAATAGTGAAAAAATACATTTCTCTAAAATGATATGGGAAGTGATTTCCATAGAATTAGAAAATGCTAATATTTATATTTAGAGAGATATTAGGATAGATGGAGAAGAGGTAAAGAAGGGCATAAAACTAACAAACAAGTTTTAGAACAAATATTTAAAAATAGTACCTTAAGCTCTAAAGAAGAATTTAAAAGACCCTGTACCCAAGACTCAATATATTAAAATAACCCTAAAATACTACTATTGAAATAATTAATATACGCATACACTGTAGAAAATGTACAAACATTTAGTACTGAGTATTAAAAAAAAACATTTATTTTTCACATTAAATACTGGCTTAGCCAGAATCAAAATGGGGACATTCTAGAAATCAAATTAGGTAAACATTTTCCACCTCTTTTTTCCTGACTATCACAGGTTCTAATTTGTACCCTGTTTCTCCAACAATATGGCCTCCCCCAATAGGAAGTCCCAGCATGTTTTATAGGCATGAAATGAAATTAAGCCCCTCCCCCCAAATTAAGGCCTATATTAAAACATACGAAATGGGGGGGAATGGTGGGGGGGCTTGCCGTTAGGAAGTACTTTTGTTGCACACCCGGATATAGTGCTGCCTGCGTTGACCCCAATACAAAGTGCCCCACCAACGCCGAGGTCAACATCCAAGCCATCGCCGCCTGCCTGCCTGAAGATGCAAGGGGGGGGGAATTAAGTCACCCCCAAACAGACGGCCTAGCCATTTTTTCGGGGCTCAAAAAAAAATAAGACCCGGCCTTATTATATGAGAAACACGGTAGATGCTAATGCTTTCCATAAGGTCCTTGGCAAAGGTGGTGTATTCTGTATAAAGGAAAAGCCATGAAAAACTGGATAGAAAATTTTAGATTAGTAGCTTCTTACCAGAACGAGAAGTGCTAATTGTAGAGGCTGAAGTCTTATCCGTTAATTAGACGAGAAGTGCTAATTGTAGAGGCTGAAGTCTTATCCGTATGATAGCTGAGCAGGAGAGGTTCTGTGTCAGTCTTTCAAGAGACAGTTTCGTGAGACGCTCAGTTTAAGCTTCAGTTTCAGAAAAAAGAAGAGAAGTCAGTGAGTGGGTATATATCTGCGGAATATAGGAATGTTTCCAGGAATTGCTTAATTTACCTGCCAAGACAATTCTGATCCTGCCACCTCTTTATTGTAGATGTCAGGATGACTGGGGGCCTCAAGCAATTGTGGGAAGAAATATCCTTCTGGGTTCAGTTCCAAGTGGAGAAAAAGACGTTGGAAACATGGAGGCTGTTAGGAAGCTTTAATGGTGGACAGGACCACATGGCCTGGAGCTCCAGAGTGAAAAGGAAGGATGATCACATGCTTCAAGGTAAAGGAAGAGATCAAGAAAAAAAAAGGACTGATATGCTGAGAATGCCTGGGTTTTATACAGGGGTGGGATTCAAATTTTTAACAACCAGTTCTGTGGGCGTGGCTTGGTGGTCATGTTATTGGCTGGGCATGGCCAACTCAATATCCCTCACATCGAGGCACACATCTCCTCGCCTGGCCTCTCATGACTGTGGGTCACTCCACACAAGCAAAGTACCAGCAAAGGAGCGGAAAAAAACTCCAGAGACATTCCAGAGACAGGAAGTCTAGTCCTTCCAAGAATGTAATAAGGGTTAACGGAGAGGCAGTTTCTGTAAGCAACATCAGAATGTTTCCTTCCTGCCTTCCTTACAGGATTAGGCCAGTAATTTCTTCTAACAACCGCTTCTCCAAACTGCTTAGAATGTTAACAACTGGTTCTACCAAATAGGTGCAAACTGGTAAAATCCTACCTCTGGTTTTATAACCTTCGTTGGGATTTGAATTGAAGCTTGTTTCTAATTGGTTGTCAGACTCCCATGAAGCCATGCAGGGGCAACTCTGTAGGCTGTCCTGAGTTCCAGGCTTGGTTGAGCCTTGCTGGATGATGATGCACTGAAAGGGCTTGAGCAATTGTTATAGCTTTACCTGGAGATCTTTGTTATGTAAAGCATTCTGGCCCAGGCCTTAATGGCCCACCCATTAACAAAGGTGGGGGTGAGTTTCTGCTTCTGAGGTGTTTCTGCTCTTGAGTTTCTACTCTTTTTAGGGGAAATATTCTGCCTTTTAATATTTCCCAGAATATTTTAATTTTCTAGGAGAGGTGTGGGTGCTAATTTCCTACACAATAAAAATATGACTTTGGGAAAATATCTGTTTTAAATGCAAAAAGAATCATGGCACAATAATAGTATGTTAATTAAATATATTGGCTTGCTTTCTTGTCTTTTTCTATGAGTTAGCTTTCTGGCTTCTATGCTATCTTCCATCTAGGATCTCCTTTGCATTTTTTTTTTCATTATCAATTATATTTAGTTTCTCCTTCCCTTGGATAGCTCTGTATTATTAGAATTTATATTTTGAACAGGGATAATTTAACCTGGGTTCTTTCCAGGACTGTTATCCCTGAGATGAGGAAGACTGTGACTGAGTACAATTATCCTTGCTGCCATCTCCATTACTGCTCTTAACTACTGCTGCTTCCTTCCCCTTCCTTAAGACCACGTTGGCATGGCTGTTTGGCTGGAATTGCTTAACTGGACCTTTGCTCTTCTTTAGCTGGACTTTAGTTTTTCCATGGAGGCCAATGCTAATAGATTCAGGCCTAGCACTGGGATTGTTTGGCTAATCGTAGATGGTGTGCTGTAGATATGCACAACTAAAATAAAGAACACTAAAAATGTGCCAAAAATTGCAAGATACAGCCCATAAATCCTAAATTATCTCTTCCCAGGCACTCTTGCACATAAGCTAAATAAAGAATGTATTCTGAGGGTGATAGATCTTGCTAGAACATGTGTCTTGTATCTATAATATCCAGCCTCTGTTTGAAGATTGCTACAGAAAAAAGATTTACAATTTCATATGGCAACAGCTCAGTGGTGGGATTCAAATTTTTTTACTACTGGTTCAGTGGGCGTGACTTATTTGGTGGGCGTGGCTTGGTGGTCATGTGACTGAGTGGGCATGGCTTGGTGGTCATGTGACTGGGTGGGCATGGTCAACTCAATGTCACTCACATCAAAGGGTGCCTCGTCTGGCCCCTCCCCTCCCAGCCATTCCTTGTCACACCCAGCCTCAATGTATCTATAGTTCTGTAAAAATATTGTTCACCTTTTTTGACTTTATTATGTATTTACTGTAGATGTATTTTCATGGACCACTGAAAGGAGGAAATGGCCCACATGCTTCTTTATTTATTATTACTATTCCCTTCAATACAAAACATCACATATTAGGAAGAGCATATTAAGCTGGACTTATGCAACCTGATATACAAAATAAACACACACATATTTATGCTCTGGACTAGACATTGAATGCATGTAGATCTCTGAAAAATATGTGGTAGCCCTGGGCAAAAAAAGGCAGTAAA